AAAAAAAAAAAAAGATTTTTTTTTCCAGCAAGCCTGGAAATTTTTTTCAAAAAGCCGGAATATGCACATGTGTGGAGGAAAGAAGGAAAATATTTTCCTAATTCCCTGGAAAATTTGGTGTATCAAACAGGGCCTTCGAGAAAAAAGTATCTATATTCCATTGGCTTATTGAAATGTGGGTTGTGCCGCTATTAATAAGAATGAGTTTTTGAAATGTATAATTAGTTTATCGAATTTACATTTCACACAATCTCATGTCGTAATTCACATCTTACACATTTAATAAATCATTCCACTATTTTCATTTGTTGATGGATTACGAGGAAGACCCTGATTTTGTTCATTCCGAGATCGACATGGGTTCTAAGGAAGATGATTTGTTGTACGACCGCAATTTACGAATGTAATAGACGGAATCAAAATTGGATCGAACAAGAATGAAGCGAAAAATGAAGTAGTAATGCTTGTAGGAGAGGTGAGAGATGATGATTTGACGTATCCATCATCTGATGAGTTATTATTGAATTGTTCATCAGACGAAGAGATTGGTTATCGCTTTCCAGAATTTTTAGTTGAGACACATATGAGAATCCATAGTTGGAGGTCGGACAACTCTTTTGGTCAATGCAAGAGTTTCGGAACGCAATAAGAACATATGGTGCTCTAAATGGTTATAATGTGAAGTTAAAGTGTAATGATAGAAAGCTAGGTTAACGAATTTGCAAACTGGGGTGTAACTGAAGGATATGGGCATTGAAGTTGAGTACGATGAAGACAGTGCAAGTAAAATCTTACACGCCCGAGCATACATGCACAAAGAGCCAAACCAACAGACATTGCAACTATATATTCTTGACAAATAGATTTAAATAGTTTCAGGCAGATCCTGATTGGACGAAAAAGTCAATTTTAGCGATCGTAAAGGACGATTTGAAAATGGAGATTAGTATAAATGTGGCCAACAAGATGAGACAATATGCTAAAGAATTGTTATTTGGAACAATTGAGGGACAGTTCGATCTTTTGAGGAGATATGCTACAAAGGTACTTCAGACGAATCCGGGATCAACTGTGATGATAGCCCTCCACGAGCAAGTTTTCAAAGGTATTTACATATGCTTCAGTGCTTGCAAAGCCGGTTTTAAGCTTGGATGCAGGAAAGTAGTTGGTGTTGACGGGTTCCATTTGCGTGGTTGTTCTGGGGAAATTATGATAACTACCGTGGGACAATACGCTAATGATTGTATTTACTCAGTGGCATATGCTATTGTACAGAAGGAGAACATATAAACGTGGAGATGGTTCATGAGTTACATACAAGAGGATGAAATTGGCAATGGGAGGGATGGACATTGATAATTGACTGGCAAAAGGGTCTTCAAAATGTGTGTGAGAAGTTATTCCTGGAGTCAGAACATCGCTTATGTGTACGACATATGTATACAAACTTCTTCAACGCCGGATATAAGAGCAAAGTTCTAAAGGATTTTGTTTGGCGTACCGCAAAGTCAACAACTGTTGTCAAATACAAACTTTGGATGGAAAAAATTTGTGAAGTAAGTGAAGGTGCATATGGATGGTTAATAAAGAGGCACCCTCAGGAGTGGAGTCGATCACACTTTTTAGTGCATTCAAAGTGCGACATTTTAGTGAACAACAGGTACAAAGTTTTTAACAAAACGTTGCTAAACGCTAGAGAAAAATTAATTCTAAATATGTTGACTTAAGTGCAAATGACATTTATGACATGGATTCAGAGGAGGCGAGAGAAGATGAGGCAATGCCAAGGTTGTTTATGACAAAAGATTACAAAAAAAAAAAAAAAACTACACAAGATCATCGAGATGTCAAGAGAATGCACGTTTCACTTTTTAGGGCTCGAGATGGCAGGTTGATTGCAGTTATGAGATATATGTAGTTTATCTTGAAGAGCATACATGCACATGCAGGAAATCGGAGCTTACGAGCAGGGACAGATTGGGGAGGACTGGACCGGGTCGTAGCCCTATCCAAGTCCAGTCCAAATCCAAGTTAGTAGTTTTTTTTTTTTTTTTGGTACAAACCCACTTAGAAAATTCAGCCCATTCCAATTAAACCCATCATGTTTTTTTAAAACCCAAAAGTCTAATCCAAAACCCAACTCAAATATCATTATATCAAATTCTCATTCAATCCTTGGAATTGTCATTTCTTCAAGACTTAAAGATCAGCCCTAAAATTGAATTGAAATTGCAATTCCCACGTACCTCAAATCTTCTCTCATTATCTCTCTACGAAGCCTGAATGTTTGCGTGCAAGTTGGTTTTTTTCTTGCTGGTTTAGTAATTTATATTGGTTATTTTCTCTCATCGAATCCGTCCCTGATTTTTTTCTCACTGGTTTTGTTCATTGGGTGATAGAAATCTATATTAGTCGGTCAATTAGGATGATTTAATCATTTTACAAAAGTATTTATAATAGATTCATTATATAAATTGACTCATAGAATCGAAGACTATAGTGGTGAGATCTCTATCGAGTAAGATTTTTGAAATAGATTATTTATTTCAGTTGATTGTTCATTTTTTGGCAAACAATTTCGAATTTTTCATTTAGTATTCTTTCTTCTCTTAAACTGTCTAGACTATTTTCATTCTATTGCAGTTTAAGATATTTTTTTGTGGCTGAAGATTCCTTTTTCTAAATTCTTAGGGTTTTATATGTAGTTTAATTTGTTTGCTTGTCGTGTAGTTTCTTTAAAATAGATTTACGAGTTATTGCGTAATATCATATATTATTAGACCGATGGTGTTCTAAAGTTTCACTATTGAACTTTTGTAAAGAATTATAAGTATTTATGATTTGTCTAATAGAATGAATAAGTTAATTACAAATATGGTAGAATCTAGTAAAAGAGCAAAAGAAAATTTTTTAGCTCATTTTTGGCATGTTTCTTACTCCAAAATTGGCAGATGCTATTATTGCTTATGTTGCTGCTTTCAATTGCAAAGAAAGAAATAGATTGAGGTATGGAACCAAGTATTCAGCTTCTGTTAAGTTATCGATAGTTCATTTTTTTTAA